AGAAGTGGATTCCTGTTTATTGATGCTTTCCACTTAATTGTTTTACCTCCCACAGGAAAGGGGATTAACCTAGAGTCTTCACAGCACAACATGTGCATTAAACTTCTGAATTACAGAACATCTGCTACGCACTGCTTAGATGGTAGTGTATTGAAGGCAAAATGTTGGCAGAACAGTAACTCCCATGAAGAGCTGCTTATGCCTCCAGACTGTTGAAGCACCAAGATTTCAGATGACAGCTATTCAATTGCTTGCCATTTTTCAGGTGGAATGACAGGAGAAAAGGACAGCCACATCAACACAGGATGTTGCAAAACAGTGGGAAAACTCAAATAGGGTGATCTGATCAGTTAATTCTGGATCACTTAAATGTCGTTGTCCCCTTGCCCAATTTTGTGCTTAATGCCTCATACTGCAAGACAGGAGTACAGCTTATGAATATGTGGTTATAATCTAACCATGCAACAAGAAGAGTCAACTGTTCTATGGATTCACTAGCTATTTTTCGCCATCAATCTTAATTCATCAAAACGGGGCATCAAATAACAAATTATGGCACCAAGCAGTAAGATAGCCTATATCAATCCATCCACTTCGAAAAGTTTCTGTACCTCATAAATGAACCTCTAATGAACAGCATGGAAGACATTACAACATTGAAGAACGGAACCTTTAACATTGCAACTCCAGGACAGAGGTACATGCCCCCTGGAACAGTGCTGTTTATTATGTAAACTCAAAAAACATCGAGACTATGGAAGACATACATACCTTCATCCCAGCCCTTACAGATCCCTTGTCAATCAACAATCACTTAAAAATAAGGTAAGGAGGCTTCTGAAAAGAGCAACTAGAATTTGTGCCAGCACTCTAGAGCTTTAAAGTAGTAAACATTTAAAAAACACTAACTGTATGGTCTTCACTGCAACAGATGGTTTCCATTCAATTCCAAAAAGAACGAGTGAACAAAAATATCACTTCCAGGCTCATATCCTAACCACAATTATTTTTAACGCATATTTTCAGAGCTGACCTCTTTGGCAGAGGACAATTCAGTTTCCTTTCAGCCTATTTTATGAGAAATTGCTATACAAGCCTTTGTCTCTGTGCTGCTGCGCTCACACCACCCCGTAGTGATTGTTCAATGATATTTAATGCTTAATATTTAAGCATGACTCATCTTTCCTTTGACATTAAACATTATATATGGGTTTACTGCAGGTATTACCTCTAAAAGAGGTAACTCTAAGGTAACCTAACTCTAAGCCTTGCATGCATAACATTTACTCCATACCCCTTATAATCTTTTCAGTTGTCAGAAATTTACTGTCACCTACTCAAAACCTATCTAGAGACTCAAAAGTTCAGTGCAAGTGCTGCATCAAAGTAGACAAATCCCACTTTTAATAGCCCTCTAGCAATTCTTCAGAATTTAATACACTTACAACCTTTGAGGAGAACATTCAATAGGTACCCCTTTTTGAAGGTCTGTCTGCCAAGTAGAAAAGACTTAACTTCCACAGGACTTCAGAATCAAAATTATTTTAAGAGCAATTATTGCGTTTCACCATCCCCTTAGACTAACATCACTAGTCCACCCATGTTTAAAAGAAACTGGAATACTGATCCTTTCACTAAGCCACTGCCTTCTAATCCCAGTTAGTAACCTCAATAAAGGCAGAAACACTATAGCATGAGGTACAGAAAATTTACTGTACAGGTAGAGGTGCGATGCTGCTGAATGCAGACAACAGCAACCCCACTAGTTCAAGCCTGAGACTGAAAGTACTAGAAGAGGCATTAAGTGCTTTATCTATACCTACTAGATCTTGTACAAAGTTATTGTGACAACAGCATCCCCTTCCAATCACTTCAACAACTCTACTTGTAGGCTTGTTACTTTTCCGCCCAAAATGCCTTACCTACGTTACAATATGCTGCCTCAGTACTAAGGCAGTACAACTTAAAAATACCGTACCTAGATAATAATCAAGTCCCAGCCTTCAACACAGCTGCTACAGCTGCCCAGGCTGTTCCAGTCCTATTTAAAGAATAAAACTTCTATTTTGCTTGCTACTTGAAACACCTGCACCAGAATGCCCACACTTTCTAACATAGAGCCTGCCTCATCCAGCCACTAACCCATCCTAAATGATTCCTTTAACACTATCAGACGAAAAATTAGAGGTGTACTGCGCAGTTTGCAGACCAGAGACAGACCCCGGAGCCTGCCCTGACAACTCAGGAACAAAAGACAAGTCATGCCTGACTCCATCGGCAAAAATCTTAACTGTGTAAGTATGCAGCTCTGAGCATCTCTGTTTGCATGGTTTTTTCTCCCTTCAGTTATGTCCTACGGGTCTATATAATATAGGCAAACAAGCACATTCTTAAAAAGGACTTTCCAAACCACAGTTTGAACACCAGATGACAAAAGCACACCTACCTCCATGAATTAACACTGCCTGCTTGCAATGAGGTTATACTACTACCTGTAGAAAGCTCTGATTTACTTCAAATTGATACTCAAAACAGGAGTTTAATTATGAAAAGATTTTAATACAGTGCAAACAGTGCACCAATCTTGATTTTCCCAAACTTTACAAAATGGTAGATTTCAAATCAAAACTAAAGGTCAAACCAGCATTTTATTAACATAGTTTATTTGATGTTAAAGTCAGCTTCTTTCCAGAATAATTCTGTGTTTCTTCATAGAATGATGCAGTCTGTAAAAGAAGAGATAGATCAGTGCTACATGATTAAAACATTTGTTTTACACTCATACTTTTAGAAAGCCTGAAAAACTTGTTCCCCAACAAGCCAGTGAACCACACTGCCATTCTTAGAAGAACATAAGGTTCAAACTTCCACAGTACTGCCATGGGAATAAGTGAGAGCCTAGAACACAGCATTTCTGTAGAAGAGCTCCGCAAACTACAACTGCTTTGCCAGCTTTCTGTTGAAGACATTATACTCACTACATCAGCTCCCAGACAGACTGTTTAAGTTGCTCTAAACTGAGTCATTCAGACCATTTGTAATAAAACCAGAGTTTTGTCTGTAATGGTTACTGCCCATGGCACATCCAACTCAGTTATGTTTCTGCAGCAAAGATATAAAAATATAGTCTAGGATTCATCTAGAAGAGTATCAGGTTCGTTTATAAGGAATTTACTTGACATAACAAAATAACAGAAATTTGTCCCTAAAATAGAAATTGTACTACTTCAATCTAAGACAGTAAAAACCAAGGTCTCGTATCCTCTCTTAGAATACCTACAAAAGGAAAATGCAACTCTTCTTCACAATAAGACTAAATAAGCAACAGTTCTAGCAACAGTAAAGCTGAACTTTCTGATTTATTATTTCAATCTTTAAACTAATCAAGTATTTCATGTAAATGGAAGTCACATAAATTATCAACTCAACAGTAAGCACAACAGTGATTTGTAAATATTTAAGTCTTTCTTAGTCTTAAAACTCTTGCACTGGGTTCTATATTTGCACAAGTACCACAGCCTTCACCAAAATCAACATTAGACCTACGCCATTGTCATTACTACAGGCTACTGAACGTCTACCCTTACAAAGCATTCTGAAGTCATACCTGTTGTCCATTTTCCATCCAAAGTATGTTCATTTACTGAAAAAGAAAAGCATTAATAAGAATAGTTGTATCAAAGTTCTACTACCATAGCAGATGGAGCTTTGAGGTTTTTTACTGACACTCACAATACGCTTTTTTCAATTACCACAGTGAAATGCAATAGGAAAACCTCAAAGTTTTGACTACCGTGGAGGTTGAAGAATTAAGACTTCACACATTCCCTCAAACTCAAAATTGGACCTAACAATAGCAGTTTAGAGCTTAAGTAATATTTAGAATGCAAATGCATGTTCAGTTATACCTACAGGCTACACTGGCTTAAAGTGCCTACCCATCCACACCTCCGATCAGTTATTTTTTTAAAAAACATTTCTATTTGGAAGGCTCACAGGTCAAAGGCTGTCACGAAACTACAGCTGTGACATTAAAAGGTAGGGTGGGAGGTTTTTTTGTATTTCAATATCCCAAGGTATATGGGTCACTGCTCTGAGTGGAAACACCAGGTGAGGGACATCTACATCTACTTGTTGCAAACTTTGATGCAAACTCCAACTGTAGAGCTATAGAATATACTAAATAACAAAAACTACTTTAAAATATTTCTCTTTCAACTGTGGGGAAAAGATAACGGGAATTCTGAGGAAGTGAGAAGTGAAAGGAAGCACCAAAAAAGTTCTAACAGTCAGACATCAACACAGTTGATGCCTGACTGAAAAGTTCAAGAAAACCTATTCAAGTGCGATTCACCATCTCAATAGTTTTCATGACTACGTAGTACATAACTCTTACAACAATATAGACTTGCCCGAAGAGGTCTCAGGATCAAAAGCCTACACATTTCCGAGAGACAGTTTTCACAGATTGTATAGGCAGAGTACAACACATATCCCACGACTCCCATTAAAAATTCTTCCACATGGCTGCAACAACGGGTGATGAACCATGCCACACCATTATGTCTAAACATGCATTTTTCAAGACAAAGCTTTAAGACACAAGTGAATTCCACAAGCTTTTTTCTGTGGTGCAGCAGAGAACTATTCTCAACCAAGTTTTCCAGAAAGTACGTAAATTAATTTGTCTTTAAGTTTAATGCGAAGACACAAAGATTACAAAACTGGTAAACAAATAAGATCTAAGCCATGCATAGTTATCAACTAAAAGATAATTTTAGAAGACATTAAAAGTCCTTAATCAAAACCACAGTTCACCTACTACTGAGATTACATACTAGTTTGATAAGCACTTGATACAGAAGTCACATCTGCTACGTAATTATCACAGCACATGATCCTGGTCTTAAATTTCTGAAGTGTTTATATACTTTAATTTCTAGGAAGTGGACAGCTTTAGTAGTTCAAGTGAGAGTCATTTAACCATTTTGCATTAATACTCAACAACAGCTACCTTCAAGTGCAAAATTCTTGAAGAAGTTCATCCATAGCACTGATATCAGTGCAACACTAAGTGACTCTCCTGACATTGACAAGAGGGCATGTGTTAGTGTTACTACTATACCAAATGCTAATTTGTGCTGTTATACTGTCAAAAATTCTTGGACTTCAGTATTAAAACAGCATTAATGCAGAAAGCAAAAAGGTTCCAAATCTTACCTAGTAGAATAGTTCTCTCATCTAGCAGTTTACTGGTTTATATGCCTCCAGTGATAACAATATTTCACTTAAACACTAAGTAAAGAATCTAATTTCAGAGATTTCCAATTTCACTGTAATTTGTGTCTTAACTTGGAATACTGCAGGCCAATAGTTAAACAGTTTAATGCTGACAACTCTGTCATTTCCAGCCACCATCTCAAATGCAGTAAGCTGTGATATGACTTAGTTTTCATAAATACACACAACGGTCAAGTAATACATGCAACTGCACTGTACTACTTTGAATCAGAACCTGGGGTGTTCTGAACGAAAGCCTCAAATCCCAATTGCATTAAGATTCTTGGATGTCTTCTCATTGGAAACTCCTTGTTTTAATGTTGTTTCACTAGTTTCAAAAACAGTCATGTTTGCTAATAGCCACATTTTATTTCCAAGTCGCACAGAAAGAAGTTCATTGTCGTTATCTGAACCCTTACAGGACAGAAGCAAGTTTAAAGCAAACATGTATGTATGCAAGGCAGTACAGTGCTTCATTAAAAAGACACATTCAGTGATGTATAATTCAGTCGCCACAACCATGCTCATTTTCAGTACCTGCTAGATACTTCATTTCTGATGGAGAATTCCAAGAAAGTAGGAAAAAAGCAAAAGTGAAAATTACTACAGTTCAAGATGTCAAGGCACTTTAGCAGCTACAGCACTAAGCACCATAACCCATCACCCTCTCTTTCCCCTTGTCAAAACACTTGAAAAAACCCACTTAGCTGCACAGCTCGCTCAGTATTTTTAGAGGACAAAAAGCTGCCAAGGAACATGACTGTCTTCACACCCAGGCTATTCCCCAGTTTTGGTGGCTTTTTTGTTTAACAACAGAGTAACTCTGCCTCCCTCCAAGCTGCTCCCATCAAGTTCCAGCCACAGCCCAGTCAGCTCCCACCAGGGTAACACTCCACTATCTTGGGCACCAGTCACTTAGACCCAGGACGAAGTAGGCATTCTACCTTACTTCTGTTTACACAGTCCTCATTGCCTACAACACCACACACATCCTTAACAAAACCTTCTCTATAAATAACACCATAAATAATAGTAACATGGTGGAGAAGCATTAGATATTTAAGTAGTCTGAGTAACGAGTGTTAAGATTATCTAATTTGTATATTACAAGATGGAGTTATGTGATTAGAGCAATATCATTAAATTTATGAAAGTTTAGTTTCAGTTCAAGTGACACCTAGGAAACAGTCATTTAAGAAGCAGTTTCGTGTTGTATCAGCTAAGCTTGCAGCAGTGAGGAGCAAAACTAAGCTACTGAGCTGATAAGCTATACAACACCACACAGATTACCTTCTGTTATCCAGTAGAATAGGTGAAAAAAATGGAAGAAAAACAATGTTATTCTGTGAAGAATTTCTAATCAACATTTCAAAGGCAACATGCTCACTCCAGCTTTCAGATATTCTCATCCTACCTTCTTGCCAGCACCAACATTTGCCTTGGCTGTGCCCCTGACTTTCTTCATTCTGTTCTTACGCTCTTTTCGCTGCTTCCTAGAAGTCTTCTTCTTTTCATACAAGCCATGCTATTAAAAAAGAGTTGAAGTTGCATTTAACATTGTTTCACTCACAGTAACTCTAAATTTAAGTTCTATTATTTCTGCACTCTTCAAATATAGTTTAAATTCGAGTTATCACCTTAGTGGTGACACAAGTTCACTAATAAATGATTTAACACAGAATATAAGCACTAAACTAGTGTATGGATCAGCCCCAGCTCTTGCACTTGTTCAAGACCTTCAATAGTGGTTAGTTACCTATTACCGCTGAACATCACTGGTAACATCAGTTTTGCCTTCCCAATTCCCCTGTAATACACAATAAAAACTCTACCCTACTTACCAAATGTATAAACTGACCTATGGTATTTTAAGATCTTTTATTTAACTCTGAGTACACCAATAGTACTTCCATAAAACCTCAGTTTTTACAAACATAAATCACTAACGACTAAATACTTCAGATCCATCCCAATTGTTTTGAAGCTACCAAAAAACAACCCACCCTGGCAAGCCTGTGCTTTGGTTCGTTTTTCTTTGCATAGTCCAGGGAATCATAGATCATGCCAAAACCTGTTGTCTTGCCACCACCGAAGTGGGTTCTGAAGCCAAAGACGAAAATTACATCAGGGGTTGTCTTATACATTTTTGCCAGCTTTTCCCTGATTTCTGTTTTGGGGACTGTGGCCTTCCCAGGATGAAGAACATCAATCACCTAAGAAAAAATATTCACAAGTTGCATAAAAGGTCAATATCCAGCATAACAGCGAGGTGGTACAGTCCCACCATGAGCTTAACGCTTAAGCTAACCCACCCCAGCAGCAAAAAGTATTATTAATTTGACACAAAAAGCGTTCATAAATTTCCTGATTCATAGGATGACTTAGGTTGCAAAAGACCTTTAAGATCATCGAGTACAACTACTAACCTGGCACTGCCCTGTCCACCACTAAGCCATGTCCCAAAGCACCGCATCTACATGTCTTTCAAACACCTCCAGGGACAGGACACCACTTCCTGAGGCAGCCCACTCCAGTGCCTCACGACCCTTTTGGTGAAGAAGTTCTTCCTACTATCCAATCTAAACCTCCTGTTCAAACAGCTCACCACTCCACCATCAAGGTTTACCTTCAGCATGCATCAACATTTAAACCTATAAGCTCTTACAACAAGAACTCCAGAGGTTTTAAAGGCCTCTTTCTTAGTAATGGTCACTAAAACCTACTTGCAGCTCAGAACCAACAGACAAATAACTAAAGGCAATTTTCTGTGTTCTTTTACCATCTGCTTGCGCTGAAGAAGCCTGTTTGTCATGAACTTCCTGGTTCTGATGGTCACTGTGTCATTCTGCAAAAGAAAATATACAACAAAACAGAACAATAGCCAGAGACATCATCCAAACATAATAAATACATAAACATAATAAAGCGCATGGTACAGCAACAGTCATTAGCCCCTCAGCTCCTGACAGGGAATTCACAGCTTCACTGGACTAGTGCTGAGCTACAGCAAACACTTCCAGTAATACCCTGAAAAACGGACAGACTCATCCCCAGCTTCCAAACAACACAGCAACATACACATCTTTACCACTCTAAAAAAAGTGAAGCAACTTTTAATGAAACAGGTGGATTACAAGCTTACAAGCCTAAATACTACAATACAGCCAAAGTTTGCTTAAGAAACCTATAAATCAGAATTTCCTTAATACACGTTTCCCTAATGTTTTCAAACAAGAACAGTCACGACACTAACACACGAGTATAACCTACAGCGCCCCTTTAGCGCCTGTTACGCTACTATCAACGCCTCGGGCTGCTCTTACCGACCAGCAGCGCACGGACACAGCAGGCCAAGCACACGCCCCGTCCCACATCCCGGAGCTCACCGCTACCACCCGGCACCGCCGCGCCGCGCTCAGGCCGCAGGAGCGCCAGCT